AAAAAAAAAAAAAAAAGATACAAACAGGACGAGGTCCACAAAAAGGGGTCTTGGTGCAGAGCTTCCTTGTCTCCAGGATGCATTTACCCTCCCCAAAGCAGGTGTTTATTCATTTTACCCAGGAAGTTCCGGTGTACCTCCATCTTCCAAGGTCATTATTGGCCTCACCATGTGGCCATGATAGATTACATCAAAGTTCCTGAGGGTTAGTCAACATTGGACCCCCAAGTAGTCCCTCTGGATCTGGTCAACTCCCACTCATTGGCGTTAGGTGTAGTCCGGCCCTCAGGAACCAGGACCAGAGGCCAAATTATTTTCTGCAAGTGTGTTCCACACTTTGCTGGCTATGTGTATGCTCAGAGAGATCTGAGAAAGTCTATTCTTCCATCTTTGGCTAACTTTGAAATTCCTTGCAAGCAGAAAGTAAAAGCTATGATGGAGTTGTAAACTGCTTAAATGAGTGTTGAAGGTATGTCCCAATATCCACACAATGCCTTTGTCAAAGACTGAGAGATTTATTGATTTGGGACATGTAATCATTAACTGGCCACTAAGCTGAATGAGCAGAGCCTTCTGTTGTCACGTGACAAAGAATGCAGGCTTTACAGAATTAGTTGTGGAAAGTTACTAAACAAGTAACAACTTCAAAAAAACAGCAATAACCATAAACCCTGGGGAGAAGGGAGAATCTTGATTTCCAGACATGCCTGATTATTTAGTTCAAATGTTCAGTTTTTTAAAAAAAATTAGGAGACATGCAAAGAAATAAGAAAGTATGATATATATTTAGGCAAAAAAAAAAAAAAAGCCATCAATAGAAACTGTTGTTGAAGAATCCCAGATGCTGAACTTATTACATCAACCTGTTGCCATCAATTATGACTCATAGTAATTCTATAGGACAGTATAGAACTGCCCCATAGAGTTTCCAAGGCTATGAATCTTTATAGAAGTAAATTCCCCATTATTTCTCCCATGGAGTGGCTGGTAGATCCAAATTGCAAACCTTTAGTTAGCAGCTGAATGCTTAACCACTGTGCTATCAGAGATCCTTCATAAAGATTTTAAGTCATGTATTTTAAATATGTTAAAAGAGAAAAGAGAAATGAAACTGTGTTGAAAGAACTAGAGGAAAGTATGAGAATGCTGTCTCACCAAATACAGAATATCAACCAAGAGATAGAAATTACTTTTTTCTTAAAAAAAAAAAAAAAGCAAAGAAAAGAAATTGCAGAGTTGAAAA